TTATTATTATTATTATTATTACTACTATTATTATTAGTATCACTGCTACTAGACCCTGATGAAGCAATGGAGTACTTAGACTTGTTACCTAAAATGCTTAAAATTGGGACACCGCAGGTACTTATGAGGCATCGAGTAAAACTCAACCCTATACATCTAGTGGAAGTATATACAATCTTAGGGAAGATCATGGCTTCCAAGCCAAGTTTGTATCTTTAGTTAGAAAAGTCGAGGCACTATAATTGAAAAAAAATAGTTAATTAAAATTTGTTCAAGACATTGTGTGTCAAATCTATGAAATAAATTAATACTCAACCAATGACTGTCCAACTTTGTCTTCTTTTAACGAATGTCCCCATGAACAAGCCCATGCTTTAAATAGTTTTCAAAGGCTCAATCATAACCTATACTCGTAAACATACAACCCTAGTTGGAAAATTCACCCAAATTCAAGTTGGAAGAGTGATAACAATAATGCATAAATTTCAGAACCACTATTTTAAGCACACCATAATTTCGAAAATTTTCATGGATATGCACCTCCTTATACTTCACTTCCTAGAAGAAATTTTAAGGAAACTTTGTATGCATTCATTGAAAAGCAAGAGACAATCAACACTCAACTTGATCAAAACATGACAGATTTTAAAAATACTCTTGCAAAATTCACATATGCTCTGAGTTTTCAAAAGAAAGGTAAGTTTCCATCTCAACCACAACAAAATCCCAAGGGGCAATACAATGTAAATGCTAGTTCTGGAAGCCAACACATAGATCAAGTAAAATCAATTACTACTCTTCGCAATGGTAAGGTTATCGAAAAACCCACTCTTGAATCTTGTGAGAAAGATGATGAGTCAATCTCTAAGGGTAAGGAAGGGGTTAAATCTGAATATTGCAAGGAAAAGATTAATTCCCCACCAGTACTTCCATTTCCTCATGCGATTAAACAAAGAGAAGTTAATCACGATTGTGAAATCTTTGAAACTTTCAAACAGGAAGAAATCAATGATGAAAAAGGCACCAAAAATATTATCGCAGATCATTTGTCAAAATTGGCAATAGATTCAACATTTGACATCACACCATTCCATGAGTACTTTCTTGTTGAATCTTTAATTTCTCTTAATTCAATGCCTTGTAACACGACTAAAAGATTGATGTCTTCTTACAAGTGTAGGAATGTCGAAGTAATAAATAACCCGGCAAGACCGGGGTCGAACTATAGGGAGGTTAATTGTATAAATTATATAAACAATAATACAATAATAACAACAATAGTAACAATAATAATAATAATAATAATAATAATAATAGTAGTAGTAATAGTAGTTATAATAATAATAATAATAGCAGTAGTAGTAATAGTAGTTATAATAAAGAAGAACAAGAAAAAGAAGAAAAAGTTGATGAGAACTTTGAGATGGAAGATTAACGTAAGTATTAAACAATGATAACAATAAATGTCAAGGTTAGAGGATCCAAGATGAACGTAAGTATTAAACATGATCTTGATATAGAAACCAAGATACCTAAATACATGGCAAATGCCTCCTTTTATAGGCCAAAATTGGGAACAAATGATTTGATAACTAATTGATAAGTTGGTGGCCAACTCTTGACTTGGTGACAATCCTTATCTTCTTTTGTCTACCCAAAAGGTCATTGATAATGTCAGAATTGGAACTAGTTGAAAATGAAAGTTGTAGAAAATGGTCTCAGCTTTCCAGAAAAAAAAAATGGAGGTTATTTGGACTTCCAGAACTCCAGATATAGGCCAAACACTAAACAGTGTGCGGGGTGCAGGACAGATTCAGACTTCTTCATTGTTGCTACAATTTGGACTTGAAAATGACCTTATTAAATCTTGGGGGCCCTATGAAAGTTTGGACTGCACCAACATCTCTTTTCTAAGTTTAGCCATCTCTTTGTCCTTTCAATTTGAGTTCTTAAATTTATCAATCAATCCTTTCATTTATGTGATAGACCTACATTTAAAATGAATATTTACCATAAATTAAACGTATCTTATTTTATTAGATATGTTAGTATAAAACATGCTTTAAATACGGAGTTATTGATACTTCAAGTGCAAAATAATGATATAAAATCTTAATAAAAATGCACTTTTAAGCACTAATCACACCCCCC